AAAGGCGTGCGCCACCGCCGCCTGGCAGGAATAGAAACCTAAGGAACACAGAGACTGTGCCAAAGGCACTAGGAGCCGAAAAGCCGTTGAAGGACAGGGTCGGGGCCAAACCAGCTTCAATTCACTGTTGCTCAGGTGTTTATTTGAATCATTTGATGTTGCATTAATAACAACCTGGGCCATTCCTCATCATAGATGGATTTCCTGTTTTCTATATCCTTAGATTTTTAGGTTTGAGTACAAATGAGTTATTACAGTACTCTAGAGAGTTGTTTGTGGGTTTTTTGTTTTGTAAACTCCAATTTATGTCTTAATCCCAACCACTGAGGGTATCCCCCGAACACGTCACTTGTAACTTAACCCATCATCAAATGCATCACGGGCATCACGTCTAAAGCCACATTTAGTATCCATCTGTCCATCCTTTTCTTAGCTGTGTCTTCACCAAAAACAGAAATCAATGCTTTCAAGACAGATACTGCCCACGCCTCCAGACGACTTCCTCCTAAGTCAGTCATCAGTAAAATATGAAAGCTGCAGGGCAAAGGGCAAGCACTGGTCGTCCCAGTGCCTGGGAGGTCAAGGCAGAGAGTCAGGGGTCAAAGGTCATTAAAACAACAACTACTTACCTTCCCATCTTGTTGCATGGGCAGATTCGGCCTCCTTTACCGAAATGGGTTTCTCTTTTGAGACAGGGTCTCATGTACTCCAGGCTCACACTGTAGCTGCTGACAACCTTGGAGCCCAGAGCACTGCCTTTTCCAGTGCTGGGACTTATGTACTTACTTATTTATATTTGATGTGTACGAGTGGTTTTGCCTACATGTATGTCTATACAGTGCATGCATGCCTGGTGCGCAAGATCAGAAGAGGGCATCGATACCCTGAAACTGAAGTTACAGGTGGTTGTTAGCCACCACGTGGGAGCTGGGAGCTCCATCCAGGTTCTCAGAAAGAACTGTAAATGAAAACAGGGACTGGAAAGATGGCTTAGCACCGAAGGACGCTTTTTCTTGATTATCCTTACACTCACATGGTGGCTCACAATCTGTAAGTACAGCTCCAGGGGATTCATCCAATGTCTCTTCTGACCCCCAACAGGTTCCTGCGTTCAAATGGTGCCCATACCTGCACTTAGGCACACACTCATACACACAAACATAATAAGTACAAAATATAGCCAGGTGTGGGGGTGCAGGACTTTAATACCAGCACTCAGGAAGCAGAAGCAGGCAGATCTCTGTGAGTTTGAGGCCACCTGGTTTACAGAGTGAATTCAAGACCAGCTAGAGCTATATAGTGAGAACCTGTCTAAAAAATAAATAAAAGTGAGGAACAAACAAAAAACCCAAGTATATAGAAAAGTACGTGGACATTGTGTGACTGTTTTCCTCCTGGAGACACAACACACATCTGCTCACTCCAGATAGAGAACCCCCAACATCCCAAAGTATGGAAGCCACCAAAGCCCAACTTGATGAACCAGTCAATGAGTTTCATTGGAGTAAATTATGGGAGTATGGCTGAAGGATTGATTACAAGAGCAGAAATGACTCAAAGCCCAGTGCAGCATGAGTGACAGCTCACAAACCTGGGAACCCGGGCCCATTGCACAGCCCATAGGCAGATCACAAGTTCAGAGTAAACTTTCCAGGTGGTCAGTGGATCTAAATCTCCTCTAGATGCTCAGCTCCTTTCTGATTTTTACAGGGGTCTTTTCAGTATGTCTCAGCTTATACTGACAGGGAGGGGACTAGTGAATTTGGTCAGTTTCAGGAACTTCTTGGGCTTATTTTATTTACCTTCCTGTTTAAAGAGCTTCCCCGCTGGATGGGATGTTTCTCTCTCAGAGGAAACTGTTACACATCTGACCCAGGAAAACATAGAGGAAATCCTTTCCTTCATAGTCACAAGTTTTACACCAGACGGAGAAGTCAGTGGCAAAATATATCTTCAAAACATGAATTATAAAGAACAAAATACATGAGAATTCTTGGACTTGAAGTTTTGTAAAAGTACCAGGAGTATACTAAATCCTAAAATGACTTCATAGTCACATGTCACTGCTTACAGGGAAAAATAACACTCCACATTCCAAACAACAGATTAAATTCCAACCTGTTTCGCTGTGTTCTAATTATGTCTTACCAATGGAGCACTGAAGACCAGCCTCACTACAATACAGGCAATTCCCACTGTGTAAGAACTAACATGCAGAACCCCACCTCAACAGTCAGAAAGCTAAAGCTCGCTGGAACTGAAACACCTTCTGGATCCCTACTTGGCTTCTCAGTTTCAAGAAATCAGCAAGATGTGTACAATATAGGAATTGGTATAAAACCTAAGAAAGCAGGGCTGGTGGCACATGCCCTTAACCCTAGACTAGTACTTGGAGGCAGTGGTAGGTAGGTCTTTATGAGTTTATGAGTTCAAGGCCATCATGGTCTATATAGTGAGACCTTGTTTCTAAGACAAAAATACATCCTAAGAAGAAATTTTTTTTAGCTATATTATTGGTTTTTGGGAGAGGGTTTCTCTATGTAGCCCTGGGTGTAGAGGAACTCACTCTGTAGACCAGGATGCCTCGAACTCAGAGATTTGCCTGCCCCTGCCTCCAAAGTGCTGTGATTAAAGCATGCCATGACCATACCACAATGAGTATTATTTTAGGTGTGTTCCCTGCCTCTCCCCCATCCCCAGACAGGGTTTCTCTGTTTAGCAGCCCCTGCTATCCTGGAACTCTATTTGTAGCCCAGTCTGGCCTTGAACCCACAGAGATCCTCCTGTCTACCTTGAGTGCTGGGATAAAGGGCATGGGCCACCACCACCCAGCTTATTTTAGTTCTCTGAGACAAAGCTGTCTTGGAACTCACTATGTAGACCTGGAACTTACTATGTAGACCTGCCTGTGCCTCCCCAGTGATAGGACTAAAGGTATGTTCCACTATGGCTGGCCCACTTTTTTAATTAAAAAAATGCTTTGTGTATGAGTGTGTGCCTGAGCGCATATACGTGCACCATAAGCATGCAGGAGTCTGGAGGTCAGAAGCACTGGATCCCCTGGAATTCGTAGTTACAGAAGATTGTGAGCAGCTGTGGGAGTGCTGGGAGAACCCAGGTCTTCTGCAGAATAAGTGTTAACTGCTGATCAGGCTCTCTGGTACCTATTATCTTTTTTTTTTTTTTTTTTTTTTTTTTCCTGCCTCTGCTGGGATTAAAGGAAGGCAACACCACGTTTCTTTTTCCTGAGACAGGGTTTCTTTGTTTAACAACCCTGACTGTCCTTATACTCATTTTGTAGACCAGGCTGGCCTACAAAGATTTACCTGCCTATGCCTCCCGAATGCTGGATTAAGGGTGTGAGCCACCACTGCCCCGCCCAGAACTTGCTTTTCAGATCAGGCTGATCTAGTTCAGAAATTATGGGCATGCACTGTTGCACCTTTTTGTTTTTGGAGACAGGGTTTCTCTGGGTAGCTTTGGAGCCTATCCTGGAACTTGCTCTGTAGACCAGGCTGGCCTCAGGTTCACAGAGATCCAAATGCATATGCCTCCCAAGGGCTGGGATTAAGTGTGTGCATCCCCACCAACAGGTGAGAGATCCTTTATTAACCAGAAAATGACTGCTTTCCGACTCAGGCAGAAAACAACAGGAAATGGTCTTGCAGGTGCAATTTTTAAGAGCAGGGGAGGTCAATGTTAGAATGAGCTACAATGCCATGGTAAAGGAGATCGGGGGTGGGGACAAGGAATACAGGGGAGGGCACAAGGGAAAGAGGGCAGAGGGACAAAGGACTGCCTCTGGATAGAGGATAGATGTGGCACTAGGAAAATGAGTTTATAAAGGTTCAAGAAGAAACCCATTAGGATGAGGTGTTTAATTGGGCACATTAATTAGGTGAAATAAAGGGGCTCCTGATAGCTGGACTTTGGTAGTCTGCCTCAGGAGAAGTGGCCACAGAAGGGACTAGACCTTGGGAGCTAGCTTTAGGAATGTAATCTAAAGGGTTTTTTTTTGTTTGTTTTTTTAAAGCAAGGCAGAGAGAATGGCAGGAGGGCAAGGCCTGCCAGAGCCATAAGCTCAAGTGGGCTAGTGTCCCTTCAGTATCCACCAACCCCAGCGTTGGGATTACAAGCATGATCTGGGACACCCAGATTGTTATGTGGATGCTGAGATCAAACTCCAGTTTTCAAAGTTGCCTAGCAAGTGCACTTATGAGCAGGAAAACTTTAGCTAAGTCATTTTAAAGGAACATGGTAGTGGAAGTACCCTCATTATAACCTTTCAAGCTAAAAAGGCCAAACACAGCATGTGGTGCACACCTTTAGCCTCAGCACTAGGGGCAGAGGTAGAGCGATATGACTTCCCAGGTACCCTGTGGCACAGACACACTAAAAAGTAGTTTTTGTTTTTTGGGGACAGGGTTTCTCTGTGTATCTTTGGAGCCTGTCCTGGAACTCGCTCTGTAGACCCGGCTGGACTCTATGGCTCGAACCCATAGAGATCTGCCTGCCTCTGCCTCCGGAGTGCGGGAATTAAAGGCGTGCACCACTACAGCCTGGCTAAATGTACATTTGTTAAAAATTCAAGATGCTTGTTAGGTCCTCAGAGGCCAGAGGAGGGTCACAGAACTGTCTAACTAGAATTATCTGTGAACCACCAGACAGAGTCTGGAAACCAAACTAGGGTCCTCTAAAATGCTCTGAACTGCTAATCCCTCTCCTGTCCCTTGTTAGCTTGAAACACAACACATACCAGTTTGCTTCTGAGTTATCTGCCTGCCCCTGCTTCAAGTGCTGGGGTCTAACAGCATGTGCTACCACATCTGACTTTGCCTGAAGTTTTTGTTGGTGGTTTTTTTTTTTTTTTTTTTTTTTTGAAGCAAGGTCTCTCTACGTAGCTGTGGCTATTACAGGACTTGTTATGTAGACCTCTCCAGTGCTGGGATTAAAGACGTCTCTTTTTTCTATTTAATACTCCTCAAAATAAAGAGAACAGCTCATTTTAAACAAGAAGTTTATTTAAACAACAAGACGCTTGACTTGAAGGGAAAACTATCTAGGATCATTTTGTTCAAGAGTAATTTATCCCTACTTAAAGACAGATTGCCCTACATGTAACAGCTACGTACAAAAAAGTTATAAAATTGTCCTTGGTTTTACAATGATAAATGAAAAACATTAAAATTCTCCAATCGAACAAGGTATGCAAGGATTTTGTGGTTGGGTTCTTTTGTTAAAACATTGAGAGCAAAATAACTTACTGGAATATAAAGATAAGAGCTGAATGAGCATGCCACTAATGGAGTAGGGGGTATTTTCACAGAACCAGTACTTCCCCCGACCACCTCCATCTGATGTCAATCAAAACAGAACATTGGCCATTTAGTTTAAAAAAGAAAAAAAAAAGAAAAAAAGAAAAAAGGAAAAAGCGCAATATGCTTGTGCACATACACCAGTTACTTTATGTACAATAAAGAAATGGGGACAGGGAAATGAAAGAATAGAGAAAACTATACTGTAGTAGTCAGGATGTGGTGGAACCAAATTGCGGCTTTCTAATTGCGAATGTATTCTTGGTCTATAACAAAATTCTGGAGTAAAGTAGCAGGTTCCCTTTTTAGTAGACACCTCCTGTCTGCTGCTGGAACACATCAATCGTATCTTCATCCTCCATTTCCAACTAGCATAGAAAAGAAAACAAATTTAAGACCACTGAGGAAGAATTTAAAACGTCTAGTTTTCATATTAAATTTACAGAAAAGTACACATCCCATTGCACCGCAGGCTTCACTACTATAGATGTCGGTCGGCCTCATAGAAACTGGGCATGGTGACACACACCTGTCTAAAACCCTAGCATTATAAAGCTCAAGAAAGGGCAATGAATGTGGTACCAGTCATGGGCTGGTCTCAAACACTTAGCAATCCTACCTCAGTCCGACAAGTATTGGGATTTAAACAGTTTTGATTAACCTAATCATCAAACACCATACACCCATAATCTCAGCACCCCAGAGATTGAGACAATGCTCTATATTCTGACACCAGCCTAGACTACAACATATGTGATACTCATTCTTAAAAAGAAAAAACAAAAGCAGACTTTTATCATAAATTAAACATCAATATAAACTTTTTGCATTTCTCTGTGTAACAGCTTACTGTCCTGAACTCACTCTGGCCTCAAACTCAGACCCATCTGTCTCTGCCTCCAGAGTGCTGGGATTAAAGGCACACGCCATGATGGACCAAAGCCTTACTTGTTTAATAAATCTAACTTCAAAACTTGGAATTTTAAGGTTCACTAACCACATTATATATAAAACAACCACAATCGTAGTAAGGCCTTAACACATAAGGCATCACTGTAAAAACTGAATCGGCAGAACACTATATACATAATCAAGACAATGGGAGAAAACAATTCTAAAATGAATTTCAAATTCAACTTAAGAATTTTTACAATGTTCCAGGGTAACAATTTTAATTGAATACATATCAATGTTCACATTAAAGTATCATTTTATGGTGAAATTTAAATGCATCAAAACATACCACAGTTACAAAGTAAACGTTAGCAACTCCTTGGGGTTACAAAATATAACTAAAGACTGCCACTAGTGAGATTTCCCTAACTTAGAACTCAGAAAAGGCAAGTCTTTAAGTCCATCAGTAAAATCACACCTTGATGTTTACGTTCCTGACTATTTAGCCCTCTCCACTGATTTTAATATAAAAAAAACCAGAACAATTGAAACAGGGCTTCTGTGTAGCTCTACATTTCCTGGAATTCCCTCTGTACACCAAATTATCATCAGAGATTTGTGTGCCTCTGCTTTCCAAGTGCTAGGATAGGCATACACCACCACGCCCAGTTCAGTATGAATTTTTTTTTCCTTGACAGGGTTTCTCTGCTAGGATTAAAGATGTCGTGCACTACCACCATCCCGTTCAGTATGAATGTTTTGACAGCATGTATGTAAGTGCAACAAATTCACATACTAGAGTTATATAGGTAGCTGTGAGCCTGTGGGTCCTGGAAAGCAATGCCAGGTCTATTGTGTAAGAGCAGTAAGTGCTTACTCCCCTTTTTTTGGTGGGAGGTTGGACGGGCTAGGTTAAAATGTTCTCACTGTGTAGTGCTGGCTATCCCAGAAATCACTACTGTAGACCAGATTGGCCTCCAACTCAGAGATCCACCTGCTCTACCTACCTCTTGAGTGCTGGGATTAAATTAAGGTGGATGCCACCATAACCCGCTCCCCTACAATTTTTATTTGAGAATTAAAGCAGAAACTCAAATCAGGTAGTGAGTGGCTCACACTTTGTTAATTCCAGAAGGCCTTCTCAATGTTCTTCAAGGCCAAGTTAGTAAACAGCATGTCTAAAAACCACCAACTTTGGTTGTTATATGCCTATAAATTACAGGAGGCAAAGACATGATCACTACAAACACAAAAACAAACAAACAAAAATTAAAAATGAAAAGCCCAAAGGATCAAATTTAAATTACTACTCACAAGAATTAGGTGATTTAAACCAACCAGTTGTGGTGCATGCCTTTAGTCCTAGCACTAGAGAGGCAAAGGCAGGAAGATCTCGATTCTAGGCCAGCCCCATCTATAGTACAGACCAAGTTTCAGAACAGGCAGAACCACACAGGAAAACCCTATCACACAAACAAAAAGAACCAAACAAAAAATTTCAGTGATTTAAAGCCTTAAATTAAGAAGGTTTTAAAGGAAATGGATACAATGCTTCAGATAGAGAAAACCATCTATTGCAGATACAGGGGGAAAAAAAAAAAAGACCTGCTGCAGTTAAGGGAGATACAACAGCACCACCTCACCCAGTCAGGTTTGTAAGGAGTCACCTACACATACACAGGCAAGTTCAGAGAACAAGAACAAGAGAACAGGCAAACTGAGCCAAGAATAGATAAAAACCAGAAACATCCCCACAAGAACAGAGCAAAAACAAAAAATTCACTTTTAGTGGTGCACATCTTTAATCCCAGCACTTGGGAGGCAGAGGAAAGGTGGATCTCTGAGTTCAAGGCCAGTCTGGTCTACTGAGCAAGTTCTAGAACAACTAAGATTACACAGAGAAACCCTGTCTCAAAAAAAAAAAAAAAAAAAACACCAAAAACAACAAAAGAAACAAAAAGAAAGATAACAAGAGCGAGGGAGAAAACAACAAAAAAGATAGAACAGCGGTTAAGAGTACTTGTTTACAGGACCCAAGTTTGGTTCCCTGTACCTATACAAAAAAGCTGAGCATTTGTATTCCCAGCACCATGGGTGGCAGAGACTGGAGGAATAGAGAAACACTGATTCCAAACACCTCCAAGTTCTAGGAATACCCCGTCTTAAAGGAATAAAGCTTAGAGCAATAGGGCAGGACACATGATGTCCTCATTGACTTCTGTAGGTACGTACGCGCGCGCGCGCGCACACACACACACACACACGCCCATGCATAAATATATGCGACCATACCCATAAAACATAATTTTTAAAAATAGTTCAGAAATTTTTTTACCTGTGCAGGTGTGTCTGTTTCATTGATTGGCTGTCCATCAAACCGGAATCTGATCTGCCTCATTGACAAACCCTAACAAGAGATTAAGAGCAAACAGTATACAATCATTAAAAACTTTGATATAGGGTCTCACTATGTAGCTCTGGTTGTCCTGGAACTCACTATATAAACCAAGATGGACTAAAACTCCATTTCTTTCTTTTCTTTATTCTTTTTACTTTCTTTTCTTTTGAGACTGTTTCTCTGTGTTGCTTTGGAGCCTGACCTGGAAGTAGCTCTTGTAGACCAGGCTGGCCTCAAACTCATGAGATCCACCTGCCTCTGTCTCCCAAGTGCATGCACCACCACCACCTGGTTTAAAACTCCATTTCAACAAAACTACGAATATATGTAACCATCAGTATTATGCAACATTTTCTATGCAAATAAACATTTGTTGTTTCTCATACTTAAAGAGACCCTGTTTCAAAATCAAGATGGTACACACATGCCTGTAGTAGCACCAACGCTTGGAGGAATCGGGAAGTGTGAGACTACCATGGGCTACACGAGATCCATCTCAAAATCAAATGGCACAAAAAAGAGTGGAGATTAAGGTATTTAATTTTTTAAATTAAAATTTCAGAATGAAGGCATTCACATTTTACAGCACATTTCAATACGGGTCACAATCCAATTGGTCAGTCTATTATATGGCTTCTGGTTATTACCAACAGATAGGATGTACAGATCGGATTCTGCTGATACATCTAACACTACCAAGAATTCTAATGTTTAGAATTCAACAGTGCTACTGAATGGGGATTCCACACTGATTTCTAAAGGTAAAAATTCCAAGTCTGGGCAAGCTGTATGGCTTAGTAGGTAAAGACCACGAAAGCCTGGCAACCTAAGTACAATCCCCTGGAACCTATTTAAAGGTAGATGGAAAGAAAAGAACTGACTCCAGGCTGGGGCTGTAATGGCACACTTTTAGCTCCACTCTGAGTTTGAGTTTGAGGCCGGCCTGGTATATAGCGCAAGTTCCAGGATGGCCAGGGACACATAGAGAAACCCTGTCTAAAAAAAAGTTTTCCTTTAACCTCCACACAACACACACAATAAAATACACACACACACACACAAAAAAAAACATACAAGGAGGTAAGAGAAGGCACAGAGGCTAAAGGCTGTTAAAGTTTGATACCCCATGTCTATGAAGTAGGACATGCACCTCCATCAAGCTGTCCTGACTGCTCCAGCACATGGGTAGTTCCCTCCTCCCCTTTGGAAAATTTTGTTGTTGGGTCTATAAAACCAGGTAGACTGATATGTATGCCATCAGGCCCCACTCCCAATCTTTTTTCATTATATAGCCCTCGTTGGCCTAGAAATTACTGTGTAGACTAAGTTGGCCTAGGATGTGCATTTCTTGGCAACAGGTTTGAACCTGAGGCTTTAGCTGATAGCATGCACTTACCTCATGTTTTAATGGCAGTCTTCATTCCCACTTTATAGCGGAAAATGACATTTAACTCTCCAATCCTGTCTCTACCTCTCTAGTGTTGTGCCAAATTTGTTCAATGCTCGAGATCAAATCCAAACCTAAGCTTTGTGCACATCAGGCAACTCTACCAACAGAATCCAGTGCTACCTCTCCAGTGCTACTCCTAAGAGTTTGTTGGTATTTTGCCTGCATGTCTCTGTGACGGTGACACTCCTGCTCCTGGAGTTAAGACAGTTGTGAGCTATTATATAGTGCTGAGAATCTATCCAGGTCCTATAGAAGAGCAGCCACATTCTTAACCACTGAGCCATCTCTCCAGACATGTCATTCCCAAGTCTTAAGAAACACACATAAGGCTATCAAATTAAAATACCATATGAGACATCCACCATGGTGGCTAACTCAAACCCACCCCAGCCTCTGTCACTGGAGCTTGTGAACAAGTATATAGGATCAAGAACTCACACTGTGATGAAGAATGATTAAAAAAAAATGTATATTTCTGGGATTTGATGATTTTTATCAGTATGGTGTTGGAAGACATCAAGGACTAAAAAACTTAGATCAGACTTTACTAAATGAAAATAAACAATGCTAATTCCTGGAGAAGGGCCAGAAATATGAATGAATTTCCTTGACTTACAATAAGTTCTAGACTTTTAAACCTTTAATGTTTAATGAAGTTACCATTAAAGGGCAATACTTTGAAGATATACACCCATTCTTTAAGGCAATCATGGTTATAAAGATGTTTTTGGTTTAAAGTAAAACATAAAAAAGGGGGAGTAGGAATCTTGTCACTTTAAATTTTAAATTCAAGTTATTCTAAACGTAAAGACATTTCATTTTTACATACCTAACAAGCACTAAGAGAATTTAATTTCTCTTATTCCAACCCCTTCAAGTTTTTCAAGACAGGGTTTCTCTGTGTAACAGCCCTGGCTGTCCTGGAACTCACTCTGTAGACCAGGCTGGCCTAGAACTCACAGAGATTTGACTGTCTCTGCCTCCTTAATGCTGAGATTAAAGGTGTGCCCCTCCACCACCAGCACTCAGCCAGCTTTTTCTTTTTTAAAAAATGTACACTGGTGTTTTGCCTGCATGCATGTCTGTGTGAAAGTATTGTGTTGGTATCCTGGAACTGGAGTTACAGACAGTTGTGAGCTGCCATGTTGAGTGACGAAACTCAGACCTGGGTCCTCCAGAAGAACAACCAGTGGTCTTAACTACTGAGCCATCTGTCCAGCCCAAGTTTCTTTTCTCAACGTATAAGATTCTTGACAGGTTGGCCCACGCTTTTAATTCCAGTACAGGAGAGAGAAGCAGTTAGATCTCTATGAGTTTAAGGCCAGCCTGGCCTACAGAGCAAGTTCCAGGACAGGCTTCAAAGCTACAGAGAAACTCTGCTTTGCTCGGCAGGAGTCAAGCGCTCCTTTGGTAGGAAGAGACCGGCAGATCTCTGTGAGTTCAAGGCCAGCCTGGTCTCCAGGACAGCAAGATCTACAAAGAGAAACCTGTCTCAAATAAATAAATAAAACAAATAAAAAGAGAATGAGCCTGGCTTGCTATCCCAGAAATGAGGAAAAAGCAGAAAACTGTTGAGTTTGAGGCCAGTCTAGTTTACAGTGTTCTAGTCAGTCAATGCTTCACAGGAAGACCCTTTCAGAACAAACCAAACGAACAAAATCCCAACATCCAAATCACAAAGAGAACTTTCCATTTCCTTTTGACATACATATAAAACTATCTTTCTATTCAATATGCAAATATCCCTATAATATAAAAGTAAAGTGCTCTGGGCTGAAGAGATGGTACAGCAGTTAAGAGCATTTGCTATTCTTCCAAAGGAGCAAGGTTCAATTTCCAGCACCCACAGGGCAACTCAAAACTGTACCTCCAGTTGCAGGGGAACTAACACCCTCAACACAGAAATACATGCAGGTGAAACACCAATGCATGTGAAGTAAAAATAAAAATACACAGAGACACACAGTGTCCGGGCCTAAAGGAATAATGTATTGTATGCTTAGCATGCATGAATCTGCTTTCAATCCCCAACACATGCACGCAAGCATACACGCCATGGTCTCTATGATTATTGTTGCAAAAAACAAAAAAATCCTAAAACTGGTTAAAAGTCTCTCTTTTTAAGACAGGGTTTCTCTGTGGTGTACCCC